TGAAGCAGCTGACAATATGGACTGAACAGCGGGGTGTCAGAGTGCATGAATGAACGAATGAAGAAAAGAAGGCGAATGAATCAATCAGCGAAAGAACGAACAAGGGAACGGATTAGTAGAAAAGCGAAAAAACGAATGAAGAATATAGTGAACGATGGAATGAGTGAAAGAACGAATGAATAAATGAATTACCTTCTGCTCCTCCTCCAGCTCAATATCGTTCTTTTTTTGTCATATCAAATGACAAACTGATCTCTTGTTACAGTAAGTCAAATTGCATTTTTACTGTAGCCACACAGTATCACTCAGAAGAGCAAGGAACTTCGAAAGATCCCTGCATCACGAGTTCACTTGATCACCTTCATAGCGGAGCACAGGAAAGGAGAATAAATATTTCCAAACATAGAATTGCATCACAGTACAAATCGCTATTCTGCTGCAGTTTCAATCACCGTGCAAAAGTGAAATGGTTAGCATAATATAGTAAACTTATCGTTGTGTTTTTCAGATTGCTGTTGATGCCTTGGACCGCGTTCAGAAGTCGTCAGCACATGGAGATATGTGAACGGAATACAGTTTATTCCAACGATAAGAAAACTTTCCCACCAACAGCCTCAACAAGTGCCTAATCGTATATTCATAGATATCATCCATACAGAGTAGTAGAGCAGATTATACTTGTGCCCGGAAAAACAGATTTATCCGGATTAAAGTTATATTGACATTCGTAGACTATTTAGATTTTTACGCTGCTTACGAATAACAAACTAATGACACCCCAATTAAGTCGGTTCCCTATGAGATAGTATATTTGCCAATCAATTTATAAAGTCTTCAGTGGACATGGCCATCCGGTTCCAAGAAACATGCCATGCCAGCAGGTTCTTTCATAACAGACAGTAATGCTCTTGCTCGCCGTAGATTAATTTAATATTTACGAAATTTTTGCATTTTATACATATATAATATGAATGTAGAGCCAAGACTCAATTTTAAGCAGTTGTCGTTCTTTGATCATTACTTATCTGGTATCGCTGAGGCAGAAAGGTAAGACAGTATCTCCAACGTTACTGGTCATGTGACCACCCTTGAGCCTCAGCATGAGTCTTTTAAGACACGTGATCCAGGTTATTTTTGACCTTCGCCGTCGGTTATGCAAGTAGCAGCTGTCTCGCCTACGTTTCTGGAGGCATTCACAAAATCATTGCAGTTATGAATTTTTAATTCGGAGAAACAACTGTTGCTCCCTACAGCGTTCTCAGATGTCTTAATTACGGTCATGTCGAGACGCGTGAGTCCAGCGATTCGTCTCAGAAAGCCATTTTCAGCTGCTTTAACCCAGGATCGCAGTTTTCATTCAGGGACTACGATTCATGGTCATACGTTCCAGCAAGGAAATGAAAATCGACTCAGCATCTGGGCGTAGTCTTCAGGCTCATACCACATCAAAATGCTGGTTTCACCATATAGTGAGCATAAAACGCGGGGAGGGGGGCACTTAATTAATGATTTCATTTTTATGGTAATGGAGATCATAGACACATGTAGATATTGCAACAACAATGACATCTTTGCTTTTTAAAACATCAATTAAACCCGTAGCTCAACCGGTGAACTCATTATATGGCCAGGCGTCGCTTAGAAGACTTGCATGCAATATTTCTAATAAATAGACTCGTCTGACGTCTGTGGGCCTAATGTTTGCTAACGTATGTAAGCACAAGCCAATTATTGCAGAGAAGACCGCCGGTAAGGCTGTCCGTTCAGAACAGTGAGAAAAACGCAAGTCAATTTCCTGTGACTTTCGTGGTATTTGATCTGAAGATGACAATATATCCGAAGATTAAGTAATTTGTTTGTACTTACTGAAAACTGAAATATGCTTAAAACGATTCATATGAGTTATTTATGTACAACGTAAATGAGTATATTGGTCAATTATGTAAATGACTGTCTCAGAATGGTTCGGGTTGCTTTCTACAATTGGTTGTGTGGACCGCTGCTGCATTGGCGTCTGGGCGCCTTAGGTATGCTTTTCACCCATGCTGCTGGTCAAGTAATTCTGAGGTATATATATCCTCCGTTTCAATGAGGTCAAAGAACAATGTGACAATGCCTAGGGGATCGTACAGCAGGCAGCAGGTAAACGTTTCCTAACGGTGAGATTGCTAAAGAAAGAAACTGGCTGAACAAACGAATTAAGCAAGCCTTAATTTCCAATCTTGCGAAAATTTC